GTATATCATTATAGCATTACTATTTGCAATATTTGGCTTGCGCCCATAGGCTCGTGAGGCCTATGCCTTACCCCTTGGCGATCTTATGCACTACCTTGCAATGGATTTTACGTACACTAGTCCGACATTCGGCGGGAAGGTCGAATGTCTAGAGGGCAATAGCCTAGACAGCTCAGGTACCCAATCAGTTGTCATAATCAGGGCTCTCGAATGGATGATTGGTCAGCGCGAAATTCATGGGGCACCCGGGCTTTGACGGACACCCCCGCATTCGTGCGAAACTTGTAACTTATAACTCAGGATTGCACATTTTTGTACCCGCGTCCCGCCGTGCTTTATCGGTGTGAATCTTAGTGCTTCCACTTAGACAGCTAATGAAAACGAAAACTCTGGAAATCCTAGACGTATCTATGATTAAGCGATACGGAAGAGAAGTGCCGTGCAAACCGCGTTATACGATAAGGATTGAAAGCACAATTCCATGGCTTCCCCTTCGTTTGACAGTTGTACGACATTGGACGCCCCGTAAGTAGCCCTTCGCCCAGTTCCGGTCCCACCAATCAAGCGAGGAGGGCGGGGGAACGATCTGTGAGGATGTCCCAACCCACGCCGTGTTCATCAAATAATACTGCGCAGCCATTGCCCAGTACTACGGCAGCTTGGCGGCATTACTCCCTTTCCAGTGCTGCTGGACACATTACTTGACAATAATCCATAGCTTACTGCTATTTTCTGTGTGTCCAGTAGGCAGTGTGACGATGCAACCTAGTTGCCATACGTAAGGAACGCTTACGATACCGCAATAATGTACGCGCCTGTTGCCTTGGTCGAACCCACCAGCTGAGCGGCGGCGGCGTTGCAGCGAGAGCGCACGGCTGCCAAAGCAGCAGCATCGGTGGGTTCCTGTAGCGGTTCCGCCGCCGCCCGCGGCCATGCTGAAGGGCCTGGGTGCCAACTGCCAAGCGAGGGCTGCGTATGGGAGACAGACGTGGCTACATGGGGGTGCCAAGCATGGCTGCGTGTTGTGTCCTCAGCCTGGAAAGGCATCCCCAGAGCGGCCATGCTGTCACCACCAGACGGGCACAATCATACGGCAAGGCCTTTTAGAGCCTGGCATGTTAACGAGAGTCCGAAAGATCTGCGCTCCGCGTTACAGTATTGAGTCTCATCAAGCCCCCACATGCAGGACACGCACATTGAACGACCGTACAAAGCATCGAGACGCACGGAAATGGAAACGAAAGCCAAAACGGCGGCACCAAGGACCACCATCTGCCAAAGCGTCCTCCGTGGTCGTGGACAGTTAATCTTGCCAACCGGCCCTGCCAAAGGGAGAAACTTTTTTCCTGATCCGCCGAATGATTACACCTCTGCCTGTCATCCCATCCCCTTGCACCGCCAGCGAAACTATGCTTTTTTCGCACACCACCAAAAGATCTCATACGCAATCCCCACAGCCGTTCCCACGCAGCCAAAGCTCCTTGTAAACCCATGGATGCATAAATGTTCCCTGTGCTGCCCCTGGTCCCTTAGCTCTGGGCCCAGTCATAGGAAAAATAATGCCGTACACAAGCGCTCAAGACGCTTCTGCGGACGCCTCGAGCTGCTGAACCTGCGCATTTGCATGAATTATCGTTACTTGTCCATCAAGAACTGTACGTCAGGGAGGGGTGCTTGGGAGCTTGCGCGTACCCGCGCTTGTAACTCGGCAATCTGCTGGTGAGCCTCCTCCAGCTGACTTTTCAGTCCATCCCTCTCCGCTATGAGAGCCTCATACTCCGCGGGGGTTGGCGAGCCAAGGCATTGCTTGATGTAGCTGCAGGGCGAAAAATCGTGTAGCATGAGCAGTGGGCCACAACATGGAGAGGACCACCCAACTTACTCTAACGCCTGCTTCGGCTTTGAGGGCTCCTCGTAAAGTTGCACGAGTACTACAAGAACAAACGGAACGTTTGGTCAGACAGCGAGCTGGGGCTACAACTTCCCGCGGCACACTTCACACCTTTGACAAGAACATCAATGGCGCCGGCCTGCTCCAAGTATTTGCGGAAGGTCTCCTTTTGCGACTCAGACATTGTAAATGCTCGCTTTTTGTCTGTTTCGTTGCGGATGATCACAGTGGAAGCTGACTTTGAGCAGGACTGGCAATAAAGAAATCAATTGTAAGAAACAGTGCCTAGAATTATTTGCTTGTGCCAGAGGGCGAGCTGATGACAAAACTCGAAGTTTGCCCATGCCGTAGGGTGTCGTACGCTGTGCTATTGCTGCACAGTAGCTGTAACATGCAATTCCTGAAGGTGGCAGCATATTCTTATTGGAATCGTTATGATTGTCTGCGTATCAGACATGACGAACTGTAGAAACACGTCGCGCCAACTGCCAAGTTCGGGCAGCGCAAAGGGTGGGACCATGGCTTACATAAGCTTAAAATTTATCTTATTTATTACGCAATGCTTAGAGATTTCAAGCGAATGGGTTGAAGGATTGGGTGGGGTCTTGCTCTGGGGTAGCGTCTCCAAACTGTGGAGAGCAGGGATGAAGCAATACACTGTTACAAACTGAGTTGTTGGTTGCCACCATAGATAGAAACTTGAACGCGGCCCGGTAGGCTTTCCAGGCCCTCCTTCAGAGCAAAATGCACAGCTTTATATGTGGTCCATCGTTGGAAGCTGAAGGGCAACACCACATGGCGGTACCCGAAGGACCGAAAGCAACGTTGCCGTGAAATTGGAACGGCAGGGAGGGGAGCTGCTGTGCATCAAGAATGTCGATTCATCCCCCCTTTTTTCCGATCCAACACTTGCACACAAGGACTCCGACAAGCTCTGCCACACCCTGCCTTATGGCGAAGCGAACCAGCAAATTTCTTTAATGACCCGGGAGCCTGCTTTAATGAACCGAGCTCAGCACATGGCAGCTGCCGCGCCAGTCAGCGCTCGCCAGCCAGTTCATGGCACACATGGAGTCCTGTCCTCCGCCCGCCATGCGACGGCGATAAATCAATAGCGAGGCCAAACAACAGCAGCTACGGCTGCTAATTGGCTTCCGCCCCAGCTCTACACTACTGGGTTATTAAAGAACTCGCCTAGGTCCTCAGCCTGGTCTTCAATCCGAGCACCTCTACGACATCCCGTAGGAGTTACAGGTCGCAGCGGTTAGCCGTATCAATGTCAAATAGAGTGATCAAACAGCAGGTCGATACCGGTCGATACCCGCTCGCTGGTTGTGGGCACTATCCTCTGCAGGCACACGCTGCCCAAAATTTGGTTTTCAAGGCTTCCAACAACTTTCACAGCATCGTGAATTGTCCATAGCGCGTGCTACAAATCTCCAGCCTCCCATGAGAGATTTCGAAGGAAATAAGGAAAATGGATTAACTACACAGCAGAGTTAGAGAAGTTCCTTTCCAAGCCTGCACGACCATGGGGCCTGTCAAGAAAACCCACCATGCGAAATGTTCATCCTTGTCAAATATCAAGAAACAAACTTACTGCTAATTTACCGTAGTGACAGAAAATGTTCGTGATTTTATTGTTCGAGACACCCTCAAAATTAGACCCGAAATTATTGGTGAAACTTTTGAATTCGTGAGAAGCCAACGCAACCGAAGCAACGGTGCCTGCAATATTCGTTACTGGGTCCGACTCAGAACGCCGATTGACGCAAAAGCTGGCCAATGCATGCACGGTTATTTAGGAGCGGCAAAACCAGCTCTATCCGTAGCTGGGGCGCCGCGAGCAAGTGTGAAGAGTCCGCATTGAAGGAGGCTTTGTTGCTTAGGCCGCTTGGCCCTTGGATCCATGTCCGTTCAATTACTATGGATGTATATATGGCCAGAAAAATGGAATTCGACGAGTAATTACTGTGTTGAAGGCATTATACGATTTGGCTTCGGAGCACACATATATTCGTGCTTGTAATTTATATGTGACATAATTTCGTGATGCCGTCACGAAATTAAAATCACGAACATTTCCTGTCACTACGGTATTACAAATTTTCACCTTCGTCCTATCTCTATTGTACGGCGTGTGCATTTCATGTCATCACAGCAGAGCAGCTGTACGACGAGCTGGAAGAAACAGTGGCTGCGTAGCTTGCACACAGTGCACAAAGCTTTGTTAGCAGGACAGAGATGCCGGAAAACACTGTCTACGGAAACTAAAGCCAAGTCTGCTCGTAACCGCTAGAAGAAGTCGAGTAGACGTCACTACCGACACCTTCCAGAACTCCATGGGTGCCAATTTAACCCAATCAATTGAGCTGTAGGGTAGCATTATTCTCGTGTGCTCAATTTATAGAGGGGCTCATCGTCCATGGTGCCATAGGATAATCCTTGGCTGTCATCTACTTTATATTACTAGTAGCCATTCCAGTGAAAATCTACAGGTTATAAAGGAAAGTCGGGTCGAGGACGTCCTCATGTCATTCAACTGCTGCCTCTGTCGCAGCCAAATCGAGCTGAAGCGCCTGTCAGGGCTGCCTTGCACATGCTTGATCTGCATGGATTGCTCGATTGGAGAACTTGAAGGCCAGATCCGCAGGTATGGCGTTACGGAATGTCTAGCACTTGCCAGCCGACGTGTTGAATGCAAACCTGCGAACCTATCCATATCAGTCCTAAATCGATGGGACCTTTAAGCATTTCCCACAAAATGGTGCAGCTGTGGAACAGCTACGTTCCACAGGAAAAAGCTCTCAACACCATCTCCATCAAGTTACATCCCCTGCCGATTTACACCCAAAATGCCACCTAGTATACTCTGCCTTTGATGGAGGCAATCGGTTGCGTCCTCCACTGTGTGTGCCTCTTCACGCCTGTAGGCAATATCCTGGGTCGGGGGCCCCAGCAGAATTCCCACCGCTTTCAAGGCACCGCACCGCAACCAATTTTGAAGTGGGTGAAACGGTTATGTACCTGACCAAAGACGGTGTCTATGTTGAGGCTGTGGTGGAAATCATCGACATCACCGTGCAACCGCCCCAGTACGGCATTCAACTCCCGGGTCGAGACGATCTTCGGTTCACAGAGGAGCACCGGCTGTGTGGCACACACCGACGAGGTGAGTGCGTGGTCAACACAGCAAGGCTTGACCATTCCTTGGTGTGTTGGCGTGCCAATGTGATGTGGGTTGGTTGGTTGAGCATTTGGGCCTTGACCCGGGACCTGGGTTTATGACTAAATTGGGGGTTGGAGCGCGCAATCGTGCACAACTATCAGGGATTATCTGGAATATGGGGTGCGATGAATTTGGTTTGTTTTGAAAAAATGGGTTGCTCAGGATTTGCAATCTGGGTCATGTCCAAATCTGATTTGGGCCACATCTCTCACTTTAACGTGTTCTTCGCCGTCTTTCCCTCTGTCCCTTTCCCTTCCTCTCTCGTTCCCGTTTTCCCGTTTGGATGGAAGCAGGCGCGCCGCAGCCGCCAGGATACTATGGCAATGGTCCTTCTTCACCGCCGTTTCACCACCACCACTATCAGCAACAGCACCTCGCCGTACAATGCCCTTGCTGCCGCACGCCGGTGTCGTTGCCTGATTTGCGCCTGTTGGTGCCTCAGGCAGTGGCGGCTTGGGAAGCTGAACGCACCTCCGCCTGGCTGCGGCACAACAACATAATCACCTGCCCCCGGCCGGACTGCGGGGCGCTCATTCAAAGGGTATTCAGCGGCGCCGCCAGCGCTGATGGCGGCGGGGACAGCGGCGGCAGAGGTGCAGCGACATCGACGGCGTATCGGCGCCCCAGCTCGACGCAGCAGCGGCGTGAATCTGCGGCGGCGGCCGTTTGCAAGGAGCAGCACCGCTACCGCTGCGGTGCCTGTCAGCGGGACTTCTGCGACGCCTGCCTGTCGGCGCCGTACCACGACGGCCTTACCTGCCGCCAAGCGCAGGCGCCGGACTGTCTGATGTGTGGCGGCAAGGTCGACGAAGACCGCATAGAGCAGCTACTGCCGAGGGCTGCTGCCGCCGCTGCCGCGGAGGCCGGCGGCAGCGGCGCCGTCGCCTCCCATCTACAGGGTGAAAGCAGTAGCGGCGACAGCGTCGGCCGCAGGAAGCAGGTCGGCAGCGGCAGCTGTGGCGGAGGCTCCGTTGGTGTAGCAGCGGCGGACGCGTCTCTGGCGGCAGCGACGGCTGTGGTGCAGCAGGCCTCCAGGGCGGAGCTGCTTTTGGCGATGAAGAACAAATTGGACGTCGACACCGTTTGGTGTCTCGAGCGGCGTGACTTGGAAAAGGTAGGACTCATGATAAGGATCCGTCCGAACGGAAGCACGGACTGCGAGCATCATACAAGAAGAAACACAGAAACACGTATTATCGCGACCCTCAGTGAGCTCAGTGGCTGTGGCTTTGGCGCTGGGTGACGAGAGAGGAAGGAACTCCAAAGGGGGTGAAGTCTAGAAAGGGAAAACAGAATCCCTGTGGAATTGGACGAACTGGAGGGGCTTTGGGAGTTTTTTTGTGAAGTTGTAGGAGCAGCTGGGGGTGTACCTTGTTGGGTGGGGGGTGAATGAACTACCCATTCGCGGTGTAGTTCATTTTAGCTCCACCCTCCTTCTCCTTAACTGCCGCAGCCGCTAAGCTTTCCCCGTTGACTCCTGGACACTTAACTTTTGCCGTCGCCCCCGCGACGGCCGCCGCTGCCTCTGCCGCCGCGGCGCTGCCATCATGATTTGTACGGCAGGCATTCCTGCACTGGGGTTACCGTACATGTAGCTCCCCGGAGTGCGCGACGCGGCTGCGAGGCATGTGCGGGCGGCCGCTGGCGTGTGGCCACTGGTGTTGCGGAATCCGCGGGGAGGGGGAGGGGGCGCGCTCGGCGTCGACGTCGGCGTCGGAGTCCGAGCCCGAGTCGCAGACACACAGCCACCCGCGCTGTGTCGAGTGCGGATTCCGCCCGGACTCTCATGGCATCTCCGCCATCCCGTCAGCCGCTGCTGGTGCTGCTACGGCGCCGGCGGCGGCGGCGGCGCTGATGAAGGATTGCTGCTTCTGCTGGGAGCCGCTCAGCTCGGGGCCGTGCATTGAGATGGCTTGCGGGCCGCGTCATATGTGCCACCTTCATTGCGCGGTTAGTGCTAATACTCCACTCGTGAATGTCAAATGCCGATTTAGGAGATTGACGCGTGTCGAATGTCGACTGGCAGGTGTCAGTGGGGCCCGAGAGTGGGCGGTAGCGGTGATGGGGACGCAAAGGGAGTGCTGGCGTTGGGAGATTGCGGCAGGAGCAGGAGTCCGTTCGTTCACTCTTCGGCGCTGGGATTGATATTTCCTGATACGTCTTCCCTCAGGCCCTTTCCCACCTTTTATTCCCACCCGCCCATCCACCCACGCCCGAGCCCCCTCATGTCCCGTGCTGCTGCTCCTCGCCGTCGCTACCGCTGCTGCCGCCTCCGCTGCTACCAACCTGCCGAAACCCCCGAGCCTAACCTTCTCCACCGCCGCCCCGCACCCATCTCCTTCACACGCCCCGACACACAGCGGGCGCGCCTGGATGCCGGCTACCCGGGGCCGCACATCTCCTTCACACACCTCTACTGCCCGCTGTGCCGCAGCGGTGATGGCGGCGGCGGTGGCGGCCGTTCGGCCTTAGCAACAGGGACAGAAGCAGCGGGCGGGCTGAGCCCCGGCGGTCCTAGCATCGTGCAGGTGTGTGTGTGTGTGTGTTAAGGGACGGGGTACCACCGTGTAGGTGCAAATAGGGGACTAGGCAGCAAGTGGACTGCTCCCGGATCCCGACTACTGGGCCTTACCCTTTTCCGCGCTACTTTTCCGTCCTGCTGACTCCGACCCTAAACCCATTCGCCCCCCCGACCCGACCCGCGCTCAACCGCACATACCCCTGCTGTCGTACAGACCGCGCTGGCTCCCGTACATCTGGACCACCCCACTCTGAGGTCCCACCTAGCGGTTCACCTCGCGCTGAGAGCTGAGGTGGTTGCGGCCGCCAGGGCGAGGATCAAGATGGACTCGGTGCTGCGGTCTGATCCGGAGCTGCAGCCGGGGGGCCGCTATGACGGCCGGCCGGCGGACTACGGACTCGAACGGCTCACGTTCTACAAGTGCAGCAAGTAGGTGCTCCCGAAGGGTAAAGCTGGAGTGCGGCAAGGGGCAAGGGGAAATGTGAATGGGGGTGTGAGGCGGTAGTAGTTGTGGTGGGGAGAGAAAAAAGGGCGGCAGAGAAAGAGAAAGAAAATGGAAGAGAGAACTTAAAATGGGTGAGAGGGCCTAAATTGGCGAAAGAAAAAATTGGCAAGGAGGACTTTTGAGTAGTACCCAGATTGTAAATGAGGAGGGCTTAGGGCCCTCCTGAGGGTTGAGAGCAGAGGAGAGGCCGTGCTTGGGGGAGATGCAAAAGTCCAGGAAGGAAGGAAAGAGGGAAGGAAGCGACTGCTGGCGTGTAAAGCACCCAGTGCCGGAGGCCAAACCGATGACGCGTCCGGAAGTGGGGGAGGAGCCGAAGGAGGCCTGTTTGATTGCTGTGGCGTTGAGGGAGGCAGTGGTACCTCTGTGGACGCGTGTACGTATGTATGTATGTTACATGAATGGGATTCCTTAAAAAAGGAGCCCTAGACCAAAAACCATGCAAGAGGTCTAGGCGAACCGAAGGCAAGTAGACCTTCTGCGAAAGTGGGACGTGTGAAGCTGTTTTGATGGAGCCGACTGCTGCAAATGCCTTGCTGGGGCTCTTTGGGGGACTTGCTTTGACTACGAGGCAGGTCCTCCAGGCTGGGGGTTTGCGCCATCTTGCTGATTTGGGTTTTCTCTGGGGACCGCGCCCTCTGTATGGCGCAGATGCGCGAAGGTGTACTACGGCGGCCAGCGGGCCTGCGGCGTGGCGGCGGACGCGGCAGCGGCTTCGGAGCAGCAGCAACAGCAGGGAGGCAATGGCGCAGCGGCGGCGGCGGCGCACGGCGGTGGCGGCGGCGGCGGCGGCGGTGGCAGCAGCCAGGCGGCGCTGGTTTGTGGCGAGTGTTGCGCGAGGTCTGCGGGCACCAACTGCCCTCGACACGGCACCAGCTACATCGAGTGGAAATGCAGGTGAGGTGCGGGGCTGCGAACTGGTGAGGGCAGATGAGGAGATTATGGGGGGATTATGGTGGCGTGTGGATAGGACACAACTGGCGGGTTGTACCCCGGGGGAGAGTATATTGTC